GAAAATCTTCCATTATTTTTGCACCTAAACACAAATATCTCCTTTTTATGCTTTGGAAATTGAAAATTTGAACAATCCGAAGTTTTTCCCCAAAGAAATGCCGAGAAATACGAGAAAACTTGTCGTTAACGCGGTAAATATTCTGAGCTTTGGAGACGCCTTTGGATTCAACCGCCACGACGCGTTCTTCGTTTCGATTTACACTCGTCTGCTTCGTTTGAGAAAGAAATGATGTTTGGGAAACATTGATGGCAACATGAGAGTTTGGAAAAGTGTCGCCAGAGGTGAGTATTACGATCTTAATTTGGATATATCAACAAAGTTGAAATGGTAAATTGGCCACCGTAATGATTACAAAAGCTGACGTTTCGAGCGTTAGCCCTTCGTCGGAGCGAATAGAGGAATCGTGGGTTGTGTGTGCTTTTAAAGGCACGATCTTAGTTTGTTTTGTAATCAAAACGGCAACTTTCTTGCGCTAGTCGTAAGTTAATATTTATGTGAATACAAACGCTCTGTGTTGTCGTGAAACATGAATGGCCACCACCTGCATGCACTCGTAAGCTGATTCGCAAAACTTAAAGCTAACAAAAATGCTTTCACAAGGAACGTATTGTTGGCTACGTGTACCTATACCCCTGCACAGTACTATTTTTTACTAAGTTTGCTTATCTTACTCGATCGATAAATTCCATTATTTGAATGAGACACATGTCACTGTCCCTAAATGGAAGCCGCGGGTTTCGCCCATAAAGCGTTTCGCCCAGACCTAGCCTCCTTTCGCCCAAACCTATAATGGGTATAGGTCTGGGTAAAGAACTGGCTACATAGAATAAGAATCTCTGATCCGACTAGAATTATTTCTCACAAGAGAGGTAGAGATTCGTAAGCTTACTTTGTCTCGATTATCGGGGAATAAAAAACGTTTCCAGCGTTGCGGTGGCCAATTTACAATTTCAACTTAGTTATATAACAAAATTACCCGACTAGATTTAATTACTTCTACTTGTGGGCGAAACCATTCTCGTTCTGGGCGAAACGATGTGGACGAAACTCGTTATGGGCGAAACTCGGTATAACCCTAAATTATGAAGTATGTTGTTAATTGTCTTAAACCATAAAAGCAATTCAAACGCTGCATCGCTTGGGGCCATTGCTGTCAAACACTGTTATTCCATTCTGTGTTCGGATGAATTTCACTGTTTTGCCATTGATAATGAAGATACATGCCGTCTTGGAATTGTTCAGCTGGGCTTGGTTTAGTAGTACGACAGGCTTGCTGCTGGAGTCTGCTCTCTGATGATACTGGCTGGCAACTCTATAGAGACTTCAATGCTTTCAAGAGCTTTTGTCTGCTCCATTTTAGTTGCTGCTTCCTGTACACCATACAGCTGCCCACCAGTTTCCTGCAGCCTTGTCATAAAATTAGTTGCCAAGCATGCTAGCTGCTAGAACTCTTGAAATCCAGGTGTTGCTTAGGGGCCTGCTGCTGTCCAGAGGTTCGGGCGAGCTAAAGTATAATTTACTGTATATGAGGGCAATAAATGTGCATGCATTACTGTCTTGTCGGCCAATTAAAGTTGATTGTGAATATTCAGGTGGGAAATGCCAGCTTGTAATTCTGTTGGACTTGGTATGACTTATAGATAGTTGCTGGACAATGGAGCTAGTTTGGACCACTGAGGACTGAGATTGGGTGTGTGCATATGAGGCTTGAGCATTAGGGTGTTGTGGTTGATCAATCTCTCCAATAGCTGAGAGGCTGCTATTGACTTTCTGTTCCCAGAGTCCAGAGGTGTAGTACTGCTCTGCAGTTGCATTTCCTGTTTTACTGTTCACCACAGTTGCTGTGTCATCTTCAGTTTTGGGGTCATTTGATTCACCATCTGATTCTGTACCTCCATTTTTCAACAGTCCTTCATTAAACTGAGAGACTTTTTTCTTTATCAATTGTTCCAAAGGTTCTTTGCATATACTACAGCAGCCATGACTTGATAAACAGGACACATGGAACGTGTGGTAACAGGCAAGGCGAACAAAGTTACCACCATAATGATTGTTGTTGCAGTCAGGTAAGTCACAGCAAACTTGTGGATTTGGCTCTTTTCCCAGGGTTTTACTTAGGTTGTAAGACAGCGGAAAACACTTGGTTTCAGCTTTGATACCATGTGATGGAAAATTGAACTTTGGCCAACTTTTAGCTTTACTGTTACTTTAACAATCAGTTGGAATCTGGAATACACAAGAATAAATTCCTCTTTTAGGACAGTATTTGTGAAACCATGTTTTGATTATTACAAGGGTTCATTTGTTATTGGATCTCTTATTATCAAATTCTAGACTTGCTTTGAACAATTTCATATGAAGTTACAAAGTGCATTTTTACCATTTTGTCACATTTTTGTGAGACTTTTTTCATCTTTCATTCCCAGCAGACCCTTTGCATTTAAAATTAGTGATACTGAACACATGGGCTTTCTTGGTGTTTTTTGCTATTTCTGAAAACAATTGTAGGCTAAATTGTGCTGGTTTGCCCGCAGTCTGCCAGAAGTTAAAATTTGATTTTCCTCTCGTGTAATCTGGCACAGATGCTCCACAAAAGGTGGTCAGAAATCCAGTTGATGCTATGGTGTTTGCTACCCTCTCAATGTTAGAAGAGTTGTCATGGCTTTGAGTGTGGGCATGTAGCATAGAATGCCATATCTCGATCTTTTTTTCAACAAATAGGTAAAGACAGTGCTGTTTGCATTTCCAGTAGTCAGGAAGAAAGTTCTTTTGGTAATCAGAGTCACTAAGAAAAGAAAGTGTTGATTTGTCGTAATGCTGTCTGCACCAAATGTTAAAAAGAATGGCCATCTGTGCCATCACAGACATATATAGCTCTAAATTTCCTGTTCTGAAAATTTGGTATTGGTAGTAAACCAGTGGAACAACATCCTCCAGTAGGGAAAGAGTGGAAACAAACTCGTGACTCTTGCATAAATTAAACTTCTTTAGCACTTGTTCACATACCATAAGCCAGCCAAGTAAAGCTGCTATAACACATAATGACGATTGGTATGGACGTGGCTTTTTGGGTAACAAACCTCGAAATAAATATGAGAACAGTTTGTCAAAGAAATGCTTAAAGATGATTACAGCATCCTCCACAGCATTTAAGGCAACGTGGAATTGGCCTTGTTCTGGTATTAGTGAGGTGTACTTTCCAGTGGAGTTGTTAGCTATTAGTTTTTTAGGAATATATAAACCAGGCCAGTCTGTGGGGATGGGAAAAAGATTTCTCTCCAGATAATTGTTCACATCGGGATACTTATAGACTCTTTGTAATTCTTGAGACTTTTCAAGTCTTGCTCACACTCCTCTAAAAGCTGACAGGATTGTAAGCTTTCAATATCTTCATCACATGGCTGATGGTAAGCCCTAGGAAACATGTAAAATAGTCATTTAAATAATAATATTGCATGTATGAATTCACAGATTTGCATGTCTTCCTTACATACTTTGTGCTCTAGATTTTCCAGTCAATGCTATTTTAATGGCAGGCATAGAATAATGAAGAAATGTATTACCTAAAATTTTGCACCAAATTATGGAAATTCCCTGGATTTAGATTTTTCATTTGTGCTGGAAGTTGATCGATGAAGTGATTTTTCATGTCTTTGAGACCTCTGTTGATGTGTAATAATACAGCAGAACTGTCTGCTCCTCCAAGGTACATCTTGTCTTCTCCCCTGATGTTTACTTTGACTTGTCGATGTGGGCTGACATTGGTTCTCTTTACTGCTGGGATGTGTGGATGTATGTCTAGCATAGCGGAGGCCATGTGTGCAATCTTGGTTTTTTGTAGGTCAGTTGGAACATGTTTGCTGTGGATATTGTGATAATCATCCAGAAGGTTTATCATGAAGCAGTCAAGCTGAAAAATGAAAATGTGTTTAATTATATTTTGTTGCATGGTCCTTATTCTTGAAACCAAAGTATGTGTAACTGTGTGTATCAATGTTGTGTCTTGTGTATTTACATACAGCATTAACTTGTTGTAGTTGTTTGGTAACATGATCACTGTGGGTCTTGGCCATATCTGTCTTCATGTTCTGGATGGTTCTGGGATTAACTGAGAAGCCTAGCACTGGTCCAGGAGACAATTCCTGATCCCTGTAATGATAATCCACCAAGCGATGTGTACAAACCACTGTCCTTTTGCAGCTGGCATGTCTTCTTTGACCTGTAATTTTTATAATAAATAATTTATACCTCTACATGGTATATCATGTGGCTTTAAAAACTTTTACTCAATGTATTCTATTAACAACTCTGCACTTGTCTGGGAACGAGCCCAGTAAAACCACAAACCTAAAGTATGATAGAATGTGTAACAGTGAAACTGTTCTTTGCCTTTGTAGGAACACCCTATCAGGCAATACTCTGTTGTCATCTCTTGTTATTGACCTCAGTAGAAGATCGAAAAGCCTAGGAGCATTCTTCTCACAAAAGTCCCTCATCACAGCTGGCTCGTAGAGTTGTACCTCTGGTCTGCTTTCATAGTATTTGAACATAGCAGTCTGGAACTGAGTGACCAACAGGTCAAAGGTAAGGTCTACAAAATATAATGTATAATATAATGTTTATTAAAAGCTTTTGCACTGCTGTATGTGACTTAACCCTTATTTGAATGTAAGAATCATTTCTAATAATTCATAACAATTTTTTAAATATTAATGAAGTGTAGGATGATGTGGAGGGAGTGTTTAATCAGAGAATCATTTTATTTTAGATTTATATGACTATCATACCTGCATGTGTCCTCTTGTTGCAGTGCCTCCTCAGAGTTATTTACTTTTAATTAGTAAATACATTACACAAACATTACATATGCTATGCTACAGAAATAGTAAGTTTGTGGGAAGTTGTTTACATAAATATGTCATTTCCTTATTTTGCAGTGTTTTGTCAAGT